GGAAAAGAACACGGCATTCACATATACATCCGCATACAGTGACGAGTGAAGAAAAAACGCCGCGTGCGTACGTGTGCCCAGGTAAGCCGACGAGCAGTGCGGCACGACACTCGTCTGAGAGTCTGAGGTGAGCCTCAGTGAGGTGGTGTTCACCGCCGTGTGTGCAACTCCTCGTGGTTTCACCTCCACCTCCGCCTCTTCTTCCTCCTCCCGCTGCACCACGACCCAGGGAACAAGATAGACGCACGAGGAATCGAATATCGGGGTCTGTAGCTACGGGACGGGCCCTCGGATCGCTCTTTCGCTCTCCCGGTATCTGTTAGCCTTGATAGGCGCCAGCCAGCCTGGATACCCAACGTTTAACCTGGCCTGGCCTGGTGAAACACACGTGCGTTAACCGCAGAGCGAGTACCGAGGGGGAACTCTCGAGTTCGCGAGTTCGTCAAAAAGAGGATTTCTCCCGGTCGCGAAGGAGTGGCATTCGGGTGAATTCCTTTGAGGGTGTTTAAAGAGGAGGAGCGTCAGGATGTGTGATCGGTGATCATCGTGGTGTGGCAACGTGAGTGCCGACGATGTCTACGACGGATGTGGTTCGTGTCATTCAGCAAGGAGCCGCTGCCGACGAGGACCAGGGGTAAATTCTCTCACTCGGCATTTATTTCGAAGTAAATCTCACCGCGGTGAAGGGCCTTCTCTCGAGCCGGGAATATCGGTGAAATATGGTGCGTCTCTATGCGTAGTGAAGGTCATTGAACGGAGACTCTTGACGATTGTGTTTCAATACTGCTCTTCAATATCGATCGTTTCCCAAGTAGAAGAACATTCGAGAAAATATTGCAGTTAATTAAGATTAATTCAATTTATAATGCGTATATTCATCGATGACTTAAATAAACAGCCGAAATATTATTTAATTTATAAATTATTCTAAATCTGGAAAGATCTGAAAGATATGCTAAAATTGTCATCGAATTCTAAGAATCGAATTCTTAGGCGTACATCATGGCTATTGACTGCTTCGAATCATCGATTTCATATTTTATTATAAAGTTATGGTAAAATTTTGTCTCATTCACTTTTTAATGAAGAATGATAAATAATCTTGATAAATAATCTAAAAAAAAGGGAGATAAAATTGGAATCTATCTCTTCTATTTTAGCGTCTAATGAAAAAAAATACATTACTGCAAAATTTGAAAATTATCTTACTTTAATTTATAATGTATTCTTTATTTCTCTCTCTCTCTC